ATGGGACTGACGGAAAGGTCCGTCACCGCCCCGTTCTGCATGCTGCAGCGAAGTGTACTTGCTCTGCGGCCCAAAGTTAAAAACTGTTGTTCTTTTGAGGTCCTCAAGGTGGCGCTCGCGGCCCATGGGTTAAGAATCTCTGGTTTAAGCTATCACTTTCAACATCTACATAAATATAAAAATCCCCCATTATTACAACTTTATCAGTATTCAATAATAAGTTAGAMAAACTGATGGATGATAAATAATAACAGTGGTTTTTCTGATTTCCATTTCGGATGAGAAAGACTGAGGGACAAAGACTCAAAAGAATTAGAACTAATAATTGATTTAGCATTAATTAATAATCCTGACTGATAAACAGTACATTAAATAATTAGCAGGAGTGGAATCATTTATACTAACAAAATCTTGCTGTTGTTTCAGTAAGACAGAATAAATCAATATGATGATCATTAACTAACAGAGACTTGGCTTCTTGTGTGTGATAACCCACATTTAATAGTTTTATTATTCTGTTCTGGTAAAGCATCTGTGTTGTTAGTATTTTTATAATTTATTTTTTTAGAGATGTTTTCTGCTTTATTTAATTTGGGCCGTGGGTGAGCTGACACTGTTTCAGTGGGGCTTTGGGTGGGTAACCAGCCAAGGTGGGACAGATGGCGTCTCTCCACATCAGACCATTGATTACTGGATTGGGCGTCATGTGACCTGGGCGTGGCTTCACAAGGGTTTTTTTTTTTTTTGCATTGAGCTAATGCTATCGCTAACCATTGAAATCAATGAGCAGAACATAGCGGTGCAAACAAACGCTTTACAAATGTATAAATGGTTAAAATACTTTGTTTTAAACTACATAGATTGTTACAACATGTTTACAAGAACAAAAACGGTTATGTTTCACAGGTGGATACTACGCATAATTAACCAAAATTGATTATTTTAATTGTAAAAACTGTTTGCTAACATTAAACAGCTTCAATGTGCATGTTGAACCTTATTTAAAATCAATTTTATCTGTTGTTAAATATATTATTTACTGATATTAAACATGTAAATATGGACTTTATTGGATTGTTGACTAGTGAGACTGCATGTAAATTCAGAAATTATGATGTAGACTCACTAATGACAGACACTAATGTAATGATTGAGCATCATAAACATAAATAGTCACATTGTCAGACAGGTCGGTTTATTCAGATATTTTCTACATCCAGTATTTGTGTTTTYCAACATTTCCAGAGAAAAAGGATGAAAAAC